TACCATCCATTAATACCATCAATTTTCGTCCTTAGATGGTAAAAAATCATATAAAAGAGCACATGATATATTAGTTTTTTGGGTTCTCACAAAATTGTAAGACTCAAATCAATTATTATATATATATATATATATATATATATGATTGGGTTCCGGTAAGAAGAAGAGTTAAGATGAGAAACGTAAAAAGAGATCTTCACCTTTGAATGCACGTTACAATAAGATGTACTGGATCAATCCTCATATCAAGCGCAGTTCATGGTGGGTTTGGGATTAAAGGTGATCAACGGTCCAGATCCCTTCTCACCTTAACTCTTTTTCTCACACTATCTTTTGCATATATATTTACTATATTATAAAGTTTTTGACAAAAACTCTTAAAAACCATTTTTTATGCATAAATTACTGTTTATTAATGCATATTACTTAAAACTCAAGATTATAAATAGATTGTGCGTAAGTACAACTTATTAAAGCTCCATATTTGAATTCGTGTAACTAACTCCAGATAAACATAATCAAATACAAGATAAACATCTCATTTTAAATATAAAAAATCTAAAATATAATTTGGATAGTCATTGAACTCTAACATAATAATGAATTATTATTTTTATAAAATGTTATATTATTAAACCAAAAATAAATTATTTCGTTATTAAATTTAAATTAAATTATAATAAAAAATAAAAAAAGAAATTACATAAAAAATAGAACTTTTAAATAGTTGATTTGATATTAATATTGATATATTTTTTTTTCAAATTTTTATGATATTTTCAAACTTATATTTTTTCAAAAATAAAATCATTATTGCTTTCTTAAAAACACATAATCTATACTATATTATAAAGCATTTGACAAAAACTCTTAAAACCACTTTTTATGCGTAAAATACTGTTTATTAATACATATTACTTAAAACTCAAGATTACAAGTTGATTGCAAGTTAATTTTACGTAAGTACAAATTATTAAAGCTCCATATCTGAATTCGTATAACTAACTACAGATAAACAATGGCCCTACAACTCCCTTCTTTTTTTTTTTATCTTCAAACCCATTTATGAAAATCGCTTGCTTCATCTTACAAACCCATCAAACCAATATATGGAAGCCCTAAAAACATTTTATAACCCTACTTGTGTATGGGTTTGTAATTGAAATTCATAACTTCTAATTTCTAGGTTTTAGGGATTTTAAAGAGCGTTTTTCCTTCACTTATCGGATAAGACTCTAGTTTCTTGTTATGCATCTTACTGAGTGATATTCACAGTCTTTGTCTTGCTCAATCGGTAAAGTAAGTGATATTGGTAAGCGTTTACCCAGTAAGTGTTTAATAAATGACCCTTAAATCAACTTAATTTAGTTGGAATGATTTTGCTTTTCAATATTTCAACCAAATATCTATCAATGTTGTTCATGTTCTCCGACATATCATTTGTTGTTATTGCAGCAAAAATGATTCCAATTATTTTCTCCTATGAGATTCTTTAGAAAGCAAGTAAAACGAGTAGAAAATGAGCAGAATCTGTCGTCCAGAAGCAATAACGAGCAGAAGATGAGCATACTTGTTGCCATAAGCAATAATGAGCAGTAACCAGTAATAGCGTCCAACAAGCAAAATCCGTCATCCAGTAGCAGTGTCCAAATCAAATTGTGGAAATACACTCGTGTAGTCGTGTTAAGGAAATAAGGAGGCAGATGATTGAGTTTGATTGACCTAGTTGGATTAAGTTTGGGTTGGACTCTAAATTAGACTGATAATATATGTATTTATTTTTTGGGCTATAAATTATAATGTTGTAAGATATATATATATATATATATATATATATATATATATATATACTTGGGATCATGTGTGACCAGCCTGTTTTCGTGAGACCCGTGAGACCAACATTTTACACTTGAAACTTCACAGCAAAATGCTGTGAATGTGACTTTTTAATACCTTCACAGTGTTTTTGCTGTGAAGGTTCGACTTTTTTTAAACCTTCACAGTGTTTTTGCTGTGAAGGTTACGTGTAAAAATGTGGTCTCACAGGTCTCACGAAAACAGGTTGATCTCACGTGAACCCAACCCTATATATATATATATATATATATATATATTGAAATAATATATATTAGCGTCGAGTTGACGGTTTGGGTTGGGTTGGGTTGAGTTAGGCTGATCCAATTTCAAACCTCCTAATTAGCGGATTGACGGGTTAGATTTAATTGGGTTACTAATGGATTGAATTGGACAGGGTTCGTGGATTGACGGTTTTTTATACGCCCCTACTCTATAACAAAAGTTGTTGTGTTGCGGGCTTACGTTTATCATATTTAGTTTTAAATCAATGGGCCACTACTAATTTATCTTTTATAGCCCAATTACTATTTACTCAATTTTGGGTTGCTTTTGAAGTAAAATTAATTTAGAGGCCGTTACCAAATGTTCACCCGGTAATCGCTTACTAAATTACATTACCTTATCAGATGAATATGACAAAGATAAAAAATCTTATCCGATAATAGTGAAATAAAGACTACAAATCTTACCCGACATTGAGAACGAGGACTCTTACTACGGACAGTGTTTACTGGATAAATATTTGCACACGATGCCGTTTTTGTAGGCTAAAATCTTATCCAATAAGTAACGATAATCTTGAATTTTACCGGTACGTGTTTGATAAACAGCTCCTTAGTGTTATTTTAAAGAAAACAATTTGATTATAATTATTTCAATACTTTAATATTTCAATATTGAAATGATTGCTGAAATTTTCAGATTAATTTATCACCACATTGCCCAACTTCATATTCGTATTCACATGCTTAATTAATTGGTGTTTATGCAAGAAACAGGGACATTTTCAAATAGATTGTCCACACCAATCCTCAATGGCTTGTAAAGAAACATCATCCAAGATCCATAAGTTTTTTTTGGAGTCAACGGTAATCACTCCGTACCACATAACCCGTTTTATAGATCAACTACCAACCTTTCCATTCCAATCACACTAAATGGCCTCATAATTCACTAAAGTTTGATAGATTTTTGTGTACATTTATCAAGGTTCAAAAAGGCATGAGATAGGGCATAGCAGTGAGATCAAACCTCGAGCCTTACAAGCCACACCTTACAGAAATGCTATGTGTCATTTCATAATGGTAGATACTTGCACCATATCGTGTCATGGGGTGCCATTTGAAAACCTGACATTTATTTAAATACAACACTTGTTTGAAACATATTGACTAACCAACCCACTGATTCCGTGATGTGAAATAAAGTTATGTGATTGTGTGTTGATCAATATTCTCTTTTTCATAGTGATTTTGAGCTGGCAATAAACATGTGTTCTTTTGTACTCGTTCTCTGTTTTTGAGGTCATATAAACCAAATGAATTGTCAAGAGCTAGCCAAGGTCATCTTACCATGGTATTTGGGCTATTGGTTGAATCCTTTTTCTTTTGGTAATTTCTAAACAAACATGGTTCATTAAAATGAATCCAATCCACTTTTATATTGCCTGATTTAACTGTAAAGAAGGAAGACATCATCCTCCCTCTTCATTCTTGGTAAAAAATATATATATATATATATATATATCAAGAAATCAAATAACGGCTGAGGGGTTGTTTGTTTACATCTTAATGGTTCCATTAAGAGGCAACCTCTTTATTGTTAAGAGATGAATCTTGTTTGACAAAAAAGGCCTCCCTCTTAATGGTTGTAAAACACTATGAATAATTTTGTATCCTAGATATCCCTTAACCATTAAGAGCCCTAATTTCATTGTACACAATTACCAAACAATTAGATTTCATTTTGCATATATCATGAGTTTCTTAATCATTCAGCAGCAACCATTCAACAACTGTCAAACATCACCTAAGAAATACAGATGAACGAACTTACACTAAAGCTATTAATGATGTTCCTATTGTTGGATAGATCTTGTTTGATGGTTCAGATTTGTTTATCGGATATTTGCAAACTCGACATAACAGATATAACACACCCTCCACCACTTCATGCTCACCTCAAATGATGTATTTTTTTACAGAGAACAGCACAGAATAAAACCATGTTTGAGACAGAACCGAATGGGTATAGAGTATAGACAAATAGTTAAAACCACAGACGATGCCCTGACCAGCTGACCTCACTATTGCCCGTCCAATCCCATCTATGTACCAAATGCACCCTAATTGAATTGGTTATATTCTTATAGTTGCCAAATCCAATAGGCTACCAAAAGAAAATGGTAAACAATCTAAGTGGAATTACTAAGATAAGATTGCATAGCAAGTATTTGATGATGACATATAAAGACCTCAAAACAACGTATCATAGCTCTATGTTGCAATATATAGCCTGGACAGCTGCAGATGAAAATATTAAACACCATAACTTGGCTAAAACTATCTTTCAACCACATAAAAGACAATGTGAATGCATTATGTAAGTGCTGCTGCATGTTTTATAGGCTAAAGAGGTTAAAGCTCATAACTTGATCTGAAAATCAAGTGGTCCATTGAGCAAATGGCATCTATAGACCAAGACATACAACCATAAAACCTAGCAAGCCCCCAATCCAATAAAGTAAAATAATATCTATACCAAATTGCAACCCAATCTAGCGCACAGACTCAGAAAGTAGAATGTGGGATCCAGAAATCATTTGCACCTACTCATGTATGGAACAAAGATGCTATTGCTATGAACTCATCATATATGCTCTATGAATTTGCGTCTAAATGCACCTAGATTTCCAATTAACTGATATGCTTACTGGATCCATCAGAGCTTAAGAGTACAATCAATTCACAGAAATCTAAAGTTGTAAACGACTTAGCTTCCTGTGGCATACAGCAACAGCTACAAATATATCTATAATATTAAATTGACATTCAAAAACCCAGAATTTCATTTTTTTTTTCTAACAACAAATTGAATCTAAAGAGAGCAGATATCAGATGCAAAAACTTGATAAAAATGCAGATGGCTAGCACAAAATAGAAACTTTGATTGCTTAAATTCAATCCAACTTAAAGTAAAAGACAACTCATTTCTTCAAACATTCAAATCATTATAGCGTTTACCAAAACCCTAACAGAGAACACATAGATAATGTAAGACTGTAAACAACAAATTACCCATTAAAAAACCGGAAAAATAAGCACCATTCATCAGTACCTCCTTCCAGCTCCACCGCCATATCCACCACGACCACCGCCGAAAGCTCCCGGTATCGATGTGGAAATCAAAGGAGTGTCCTCCTTAAGCACAATCCCAGGTAGCTCGCTCATGCCCAAAGACGCAAGCAAGTCAATAGTCTCCTTATCAACCTCAATACGGTCAGTCTTGATGGCAGATTCGTCGGGAACAAAGTCCATACGGCGCTCTCTCTCCTCCTCCTGTAGCTTGAGCGAGATGCCTCTCACCGGACCCTTCTGGATGCGCTTCATCAAGTGAGTAGAGAATCCGGCAATCTTGTTGCGGAGGCGCTTTGACGGAATGATGGCAACTTCTTCCAAGATTTTCTTGTTGGTGTGAAAATCCAGCGTCATTTTCGAGTAGTAACGCTCGATTACAAGGCGAGACGATTTCTTGACGGTTTTGGTACGGACGCGACCCATGGTTGTCGACGGAGAAGAAGAGGCGGCGTCGGCAGGGTTTGCTCAGGGAAAACGAGGAGAAAGAAAGGATAGGGTTTGAAGATGAGAATTAGGGTTTATAAGTCATAATTCATGATAAGTGTGTGAAATGAATTGCGGATCAATTGGGCCAAACAGGTGATAATTTATCAACAATCATGGGCCCAAGGAGAGTAGCCTGGCCCTAGAATAAGTGTGTAAGGATCAATTCATATATGAATTCAATTAGTTGTTTTGAGGAGGTGCTCAAATTCAAAGGCATTAATTTTTGCATAACCATGAGTAAAATGAAAGTTAATCAAGATTTCGGTAGGATAATCACATGTGCATTGAGACTTTTAGAAATTGAAGGAGTAACGGTGTAGCTTTTTCTTATTGATTTCAAATTATGTCATATTGGTAGCTTAAGATCGTCTGTGTTCACACATTGGTCACAAAATCTCCGACATTATGATTGCTTGCAAGTAATAGAGTGACAAAGTACTGAGATTGTTTCCACATGAATTGAACTACTGAGAATCGGAGACTTTTATGAACTTTTTGAGCATGTTTCGGTTTGTGAATAAAAGTTAGATTTTTGTTTATAAAAAGCTTTAAAAGACAAAATTAGCGAAATGAACTTATGAAATAAAAAGATGGACATGGGTGTAAGTATTACTTAAGATAAAATCAACAGTAAAACGGTTAGAAACTTATGAGATATTTATAAATATTCCAATCTCTCGAAAGTGAAGATTTATAAATAGTCCCCACAAAGTTCTCACTCTCAAAACTCCGAAACTTGTTGATTTAGCTAAACAGAATAAGAAATAAAATTTATACTTAAATCTCTTTGTAATATAAATCTCCAATGCTTAATCATTAGCTAATCTTTATATATATAAAAGAAAACATTGGGGTATTGAGGTGGCACCATGAGAATTGAGTATTCTCAAATGATGAATTGTTGATGAGTTTTAGTTGTCCACATTGATAAAGAGTTGAAAGATTTGAACAAAGTGAAGTGTATAAGAAAGGTGGATTTGATGTCTTTCTTTTAAATCATGAGATTTGTCTCATAGGGTTGTCTTATTTTGGATAACGGTCTTTGAAATCTATACCAAGGTTGGAATCAAAACCAATTTAATGGTAAAAATTATAATTATAGTGCAAATATAAAAGTGAAACAAAGGATGATGATTTGGTAACATGATGCAGTTATTTTTCTATCGTCTTTGTGTTATTACTCTCAAGGTTTGACACACCTCTCTAATTACAATTCAAATATTATAGAATGTTACGATGAAGTGTAATGTTTTTATCAGTTTCATATCTGATATGTGGGTTATCGACCCCACTTGATATTGAGTTTATTTTTTTATGAGGAAAAACCCATTATCTTAACTTGATGATGTGGTTTTTCATGCATCGCCTTGAACTTCCACTAATGTTGCTACAACTTACGCACTCCTCTACTTCTTACTTGAAATATTATAGAACGTTCTTTTTTCATAACTTCAAATGATATTTCAATTAGATTTGTTACAAAATTAAAATAGTGGTTTTGTCACCTTAGATGAAATTTCAGTTAAAATTGTGACTTCTAATCAAATAAACTACTAACATTAGTCAAACATTTGTAGAGTACTTTGCACCACAGTTCTCGAGCATAGTTAGATAACTTAAATTAGCATATGGTTATAAGATTATTGTCAACTCCTTTTAAAAAATTTAATGTTAATGAGTAGTTGTCACACATATTTGCCTAATTTTTTTAGAAGATGACTTCAAATTTTAGTCTATAACATTCTTTTGAAGATGGTATTATCACTACCGTGCAACGCGCGGTTGAACACTAGTTACATATAAAATTCGTATCTCTACGTAATTATCAAAGACCCTCTCAAGTTCTTTGTGCATCATTTAAGTCGTATTTCGAATTTGTCCATCTCTGGGTCAAAGATCTAATATTAACACTTCAAAGTGATCAGCTTATCGGCATTGAGTTTAAGTCCCGTCTTAAGTGACCAAGTTTACGAAGTGATAAAGAGCAAAAACACCCGATTATTGCATAAAAATCTTAAGTTAAACTCACACTCACACTCATATAAGTAATTTGCTCATAATAGACAAAAAAACATAATATAAGACAATAAATAAGACTGAAATATAACTTTCATTAAATTAGAGTTAAAGTTTGTGTCACAGTGGTCAGATTGTGGGCAACAAATTACAATTACAACCTTAATACAAGAAAATTAAATGCTAAACTTAACTTAAGAGAGAAAAAAGAAGAGATACTTCAATTAGTAAAGCTTCAAAGAGATAGGGCTGTTTGTTTGGCTCTTAATGGTGACATTAAGAGCCAACCTCTTAATCGGTAAGAGGTAAGGGCTGTTTGGCAAAAAAAAATAAGCCTCTTAATGGTTACATTAACATCTTAACCATTTTGTGTCTAGGGCCTCACTCAACCATTCAGATTGCATTTCTTCCATCTTTACCCTTCCACACCCCTTTTCTTCCAGCCATTTTGTATCGCTTCATGAGAACTCGTCGCCTTCCACAGCCATCGCTGATCGCCACCGCCGGTAGGGATGGGAATTGACCCCGACCCGTCGGGTAACCCGGTCCACCCGCCCCGGTCGGGGACGGGGATTCCCCGAAAAATCGGGTCCCGGGGACGGGGACGGGGATCCCCGCTTGGCTCAAGCCGGGGATGGGGCCGGGGACGGGTACAACACTTCCCGCCCCGCCCCGCGCCCGTTATATATATATATATATATATATATATATATATGTATTGTGGATTTGTGGGCCTGTTAATTATATTAGAAAATGCATCCATTATTGGACCATCTCCACTCCAGCCCAGCGACCTCAGCCCAGCAACCTCAGCCCAGCTTCTTCTCTGACTCTGGTTATCGTCTCCTTCCAAAATCCAAAATCCCTATTCTTCCAAACTCCAAAGTCCCTCTTCCTCTTCACCCTCATCGGCGACAGGCGACAGATCTCCCTCTCCGGACTCCGGCTCTCCCTCTCCGGCTCTTCCTCTCCGCGCTCCGCCTCTCCCTCTCCGGACTCTCCCTCTCCAGCTCTCCCTCTCCGCGTTCCGCCTCTTCCTCTCCGCGCTCCGCCTCTCCGGCTCTCCCTCTCCGGCTCTCCCTCTCTGGCTCTTCCTCTCCGCGCTCCGGCGGTCCGGCTCTCCGGACTCCGGCACTCCCTCTCTACTGTTTTTTCTCAGTGGCGGACATAGGTATTCTTCAGCCTTCTTCTTTACTATAAAATTGTTTTCAATAGATAAAAATTGCTATAAAATTGCTACACAAGATTAGGCTATTTATGCTAGGCTAAGTCAAACACAAATTATACAATCACTGAATCACAGTTCCAATAACTTAGTTTGTAGATAGTTTTGGTTTTAAAAAAAACCCGTTTCCCCGTTGGGGACAGGGAYGGGGATGTGATCATAATCCCCGGCGGGGACGGGGACGGGGATGGGGACACATATGCGGAATCGGGGACGGGGACGGGGACGGGTATTGGAGTCCCCGCCCCATCCCCGCCCCGTTACCATCCCTAACCGCCGGTCACCTCCACAGCTTCGCCGGTTGTCGCCGATCACCTCCACAACTTCGCCATCGCCGGTTACCCTTCCCACCCCTCTTTTCCAGCCGCTCTCTTCACAGATCTCTGCATATCTGTATCTTCACCTCCACCATCGCATCCCCCACGATCGTTCGTTCTTCCGTTCACCGTCTTCCCCCCACTATTGTCGCTTTTTCGGTATGCTCCTCCGGTCGTCGGCCCTACTGCTTCCTACATCTGCTTCCTATACCTTCCTTTTCCGGGTATTTCATCGCCTCCCCTACTGCTTCCCTCTACCAGATTAATTAGGGCTATTTGTTACTTAGGGCTCGTAATTAGGGCTGTTTGTAGGATGCGTTTTAAATGTGTATATGCATAGGTCTGTTTGTTGATAAATGGGTATTTGCATCATGATTTTGCTGTATATGCATAACTTGGTTGTGAAATCGTGATGATACATCCTAACATGGTAAAATGGTAATATGTAGTTATATTTGTAAAATAATTGTTTTATTCAGATATCTGCCAAACAACTCTATTTCATTCAGTACTAAATCATTCAAAGGGTTAAAATGGTAATTTATTGTCATTCAGAGAACAGTTACCAAACAACATTATTTCATTCAACATTTAACCATTCTGACCCTCTTAACCATTCTGACCTCTTAACTATTCTACACTAAATCATTCAGCAACTGCCAAACAACCCCATAGTCTTCAAAATGAACCCAAGATCTCTTTATACAGGGGAGAAATGGATAAGGATAAGACACAAAATCCAAGGGAAATTAGGCTTGCACAAATCTTGTGGGCAAAGACCATCCAAAAATCTTTTTTATTCCACAACTTATCTTTCCAATGTAGCACCAGCTGTAGGAGATCTTTTATAAATATTTTCAAGAAAACATCATCCAAAAAGTTGAAACTTATTCAAAAATTCGTAAACTTCCCACAGTGGTGACAATGTGGGTAGTTGCTAGAAAGTATAGTATTTCGGAATAAAAATTCATCTTTTGTGTTTCATCATATTTTTAAAACTTTTTAGAATAAACGGGGAAAAAAAGAAATTGGGTATTCAATATATGCAAAAAAGAAGGAAATAAATAAAAATAATTTTAAAAATGAGAGTTATCACATCATGCTAAAAAATAAGCGATTCTTTTGTTTTTCGATGCTGATAATTTATGTCCATGAAAATATTTAGAGTGTTTAATCCTCCTCATTAATTAATTAACATTTAAGGGTTAAGACCCTAGAAGAATTATAATGTCCTTGTAACCTGCAAAAATAGGATTAGTAGTGCAAACTCCAATATTGGTAATGGTAACCTTTTTTGCTTGTAGAAAAATAATAATGGCTAATTTTATAACCTGTTTCATTTTAAATATTATGCATTATGCTTTGGCACATCATGTGTCGATGGAAATCAATAAAGAAATTCATGTCAATTGACGAGATAAGAAAATGGAAGCTTATCATGCAAAGAAAAAGCTGCACAT